CCAAGCTCACTCTTATCTAAGACTGGTTTTTATTCACAGCACAAGACGGATGAACTTTCAACAATTAAATAATATAATGAACAAGATGAGTAAATAATCATATGGTTAAATTAACAATAATGGTTGAATAATAATAACAATGTTTTGATTAATCTGTGTTTAAATTACTAAGGTTGAAATTTACATTATTATGTTATGATTAGTAATTTTTTATATAATTAGTGAATCACTATCTTCTGACAGCTTAAATCCATTCATCACATAAAGTGTCCGAGTTGTCATGTTTTAATTGTTTAGAAAATACATTTTTTGCTTTTTATAAACTTGACTCTCTTCTTGAATTAATACGAAGTGTCTTACAATCCCTGAATAAACAAAGAGTTCTAAATCTTCTGGTTAAACATTCAAAGACCAATCAGACTGGATTTCCATATTTATATGGAAATTCACATCATATTGGTCAAAGCTGTAAAAGCACGCAAATACATACAATAATTACCCCGCTACATCCAAGAGAACAGAAAATAATTGCAATGAATGGTCAGCTTAAATGTTTGCTACACATAATGCATTCTGTCAATCAAACTGAAGCATGTTTGAGGAGAATATGAATAATCCTAAATTTCTTTTCAGTACAGCCAAACTTACACAGAATCATAGATCTTAACCATCTATTCCCTTAGCCCTCAGCAGCAACAACTTTATGGGATTTTCCACGAGTAAAATTAATTCTATTAGAAACAAAATCATTAGCATCCTCCCTAATGCGATTTCTTCTTCCTCAGTAAGTGAGGCAGCATCAGAGGTAACTGTAGAACCTCATCTGTGTTTGAACCATTTTGATCCAGTTGAGCTTTCAGAGTTATCAGCTTCATCTAAAACTTCAACTTGCATTTTAGATCCAATCCCAACCAAATTATTTAAAGATGCATTTTTTTGGGTTACTGCCCCCATTCTAGATGCAGTCAATTTATCCTTGGTAAATGGATACTGTACGTACCACAGGATTTTAAGGTTGCTGTAATCAAACCTTTAAGAAACCTTTTCTGGATCCAAATGACCCAGTGAATTATAGACCAATATCTAACCTTCCATTTTTATCCAAAGCCCTTAAGAAAATAGTGGCCATCCAAGTATGTCAGCATTTAAACACTAATGCTCTGTTTGAGGAATTTCAGTCTGTTTTTAGAGAGTATCACAGCACTGAAACGGCATTAGTGAAAGTTACAAAAGGATATTCTAATGACCTCAGCCAAGAATCTTGTTTCTGTTCTAGTCTTGTTAGATCTCAGTGCTGCCTTTGACACAGTTGATCACAATGTTCTTTTAGAAAGGCTTGAACATGTTGTAGGGATCAAAGGAACAGCGTTAGGCTGGTTTAAATCCTACCTGTCTGACAGATTTCATTTTGTAAATGTACATGACAAATCTTCTTCATACTCCAGGGTTACCTGTGTTGTAACACAGGGTTCAGTGCTTCGACCAATTCTTTTTACTATATATATCTATATCTATATATCTATATCTATATCTATATATCTATATCTATATATATATATATATATATAGTTAGATAGATATATACTTCCAATTGGTAAAATCATTAGACAGCATGGAATAAACTTCCACTGTTATGCTGACGATACTCAGTTACATTTATCCATCAACGCTGATGAACCTAATCAGTTAGTTAGATTACAGGCTTGTCTTGAAGACATAAAAATTGGATGACTCAAAACGTTCTGCTTTTAAATCAAGACAAGACTGAAGTTCTCATCTTTGGACCTGAAATTCAGAAAAGGAAATTGCTTAGTCAATCACCTGACCTGAATGGCATTACATTAATCTCTGAGAACAAAGTAAGAAACCTTGGTGTTATCTTTGACCAGGACATGTCATTCAAATCCCACGCAAAACAGGTTTGTAGGACTTTCTTTTTCTACCTTTGGAATATTGCTAAGATTCGTTGTATCCTTTCCAGGAATGATGCTAAAAAACTATTTCATACATTTCTTACATCAAGACTGGATTACTGTAATTCATTAGTCTGAGGAAGTCCACAGAATGCAGTTAAAAGCCTTAAGCTTGTCCAAAATGCTGCAGCTAGAGTTCTGATGAAAATTAAAAAGAGAGATCATATCTCTCCTGTCTTAGCTTCCCTACATTGGCTGCCTGTTAAATTCAGAATAGATTTTAAGATCCTCCGTCTCACATATAAAGCTCTTAATAATCAAGCTCCATCATACATCAGTGACCTGATTGTTCCATACGTTCCTAAACGAGCACTTCACTCTCAGACTGCGCGTCTACTGGTGGTTCCCACAATATCTAAAAATAGGAAGTTATCAGGCTCTTCTCCTGTGGAACCAGCACCCAGCCTTTAATCCGTGAGGCAGAAACCTTGTCTACTTTTAAGACTAGGCTTAAAACATTTTTATTTGATAGGGCCTATGGTTAAAATCTGATGTTAGCCGAGATCTGGACAAGTGGGGGAGTAGAGGGAGGTGGAGTGTACAGTCGGTAAAGACGGCTCTCCCTTGCCCTGCCTCCAACATGCCTCCATCTAAAAGGCTAGGCTATCCAGAGATATCTCTGTAGTTATGCTGCTATAGGCTTAGACTGCTGGAGGACACACTGACCACTTTCCACACTCTACTACTTTCTTCTACAATCCACTCTTTAACTGTATTATTTCCTGCAATTTCAGCTGTTAACTTTATTTTTTCTCTAAGTGTTTTTCTCCCCAGAAGAAGCTACAATGATGTTCTGCTGAGCTGTAGTGGCCTCATGGAGGGGGCCATCAGCTTGAACACTGTTGCTAACCACCTAAACATTCTCCTTCTCCTGATAATGTTTTACTTTCTTTCACATTGAATGTGCTACTACTAGTTTACCCATTTAATTATAGATTCACTAGGATAAATACATTTTGTTTATTTCTCACCAAATAGGATATTTACTAAGAAATCACAACGTAACCATAGAAACATTACTTGGTATATATGTTGTGTATGTGTGTGTGTGTGTGTGTGTGTGTGTGTGTGTGTGTGTTAAGGGTTGTGTCGACTAGTCGACTAGTTGACTTCACTGGTCTGTAGTGACTTTTTATGCCTTTCATCGACTAGTTGCTGTCACGTGATGACCGACCAGATGCAGTCCTCGGAAAAGACAGCAGGTGACGAGCCCCAGCACGTTGGGAGGCAACACGCTGTGCCAGAGCGTTGGTACCTGACGCCCTCCATAAAACGGACATTTGACCAAATTGTGACACCCTCTTGCAATTTAACCTTCCCCTCACCCCCATCCTATCCTTAACCAGGTTGCGCATATAAAGCTTTGATCGCTCCAAACATCTGCGTCCTGAGCGCGGCCAAAGTAACATTATCAAATTAGGTGTCGCCACATCAAAAACAAATTTAACATGCAATCGTTCGTGTCGGCTCATTTCCTTGTATGTTTTCCGTCTTTTATTTGTGCCTGCATGGAGTGGAGCGCATCACCTGTTTTGTCCTCAGGTGACGCACCTCACTGGTGCGGCCGGTGAGCAGCTCGCACTCCGCTGTTTTTGCGGTTGGTAGATCTTTTAGAACTGCAGTTCAAAGGTAACTCATAAGGTGAATATATATGAAGCCAGGTAGCAGTTTTTCTTTAGGATTGAGAGGAGATGCAGGAAGATAATAAACAGACAGGACAGAAAAATAGTCAAATAAAAACAAGTTAGTTTTTGTACCTGCTGGTTGCAACAAACAGACACCTTTTAATGTTTAGAGCAGCAGAAACTCTGAGAGGCTGCAGGCGCATCAGTGAGTTTGTGACCGCTGCACAGGGGGAGGGGGGAGAGGGCTGAAGCAAGATGCAGAAACTACCGTTGTTAAAAGAGATGTGTTTAACTTAGAAATAATTTGAAATTGTCAAAAACTCCAGCAAACTAGTCGAAGTCTACTCGATTTTCATTACTTGATGGTCGACTTAAAAAAAATTAAGTCATGCAACCCCTATTGTGTGTGTGTGTGTGGGTGGGTGGGGGGGGGGTGTTGGTGTGTGTGTGTGTGTGTGTGTGTGTGTCTGCTCTGTCTTCTCCATTCCCAGTGAGTCGTGGTGGATGGCTGCTTAAACTGAGCCAGGATCCTCTGGAGGTTTCTTCCTGTTAAAAGGGAGTTTTCCTCTCCACTGTCGCTATATGCTTGCTTAGTATGAGGATTGCTGTAAAGTCACTGTCACTAGTTAGTGACTTGATGCAATTTGCTGGGTTCCTTATACAGGAAACCTTTTACTGATTAGCTTAATGAACTGAACTGTATTGGAATGTTTACTATGTGAAGTGCCTTGAGACGACTCTTGTCATGATTTGGCGCTAAATAAATACATTTGAATTGAATTGAATGGTGCTTTTTTAACAAATCAAATAGAGGTCTTCACCCATTTGGAATTCTCTTGATGAGCTTCAATAGGGAGTCTTTCAAGACTGTTGGAAAACCATTTCAGGTGACTACATCTCGAAGCTCATCAAGAGAATGCCAAGAGTGTGCAAAGCAGTAATCAGAGCAAAGGGTGGCTATTTAGAAGAAAATAGTTATTTCACCTTTTTTGGTCAAGTACATAACTCAACATGTATTCATTCATAGTTTTGATGCCTTCATTGAGAATCTACCAATGTAAATGGTCATGAAAATAAAGACAACACACTGAATGAGAAGGTGTGTCCAAACTTTGGGCCTGCACTGTCTATCCACGATTAAAACATTTGTTTTGTATTTTTGTAATTCTTTAGTCACGGGTGGGCAAATATTAATATTTCCTTTACTTTTTTCACAATGTGTTCTTCAGTCTGTTCAATGTCTGCTGCGAAATATCTTTTTACTTTTTGATGGGGTAATGGAAAATTTACAGGAAGTGGTGTCGTGACCAATCACTTTTGACGGACGTTTGGGCATGTGTCCGTCACCTTCTGTGAGTTTGCCTTTTGATATTTCATAGTAAAAATAGAAAAAAAGCTGTACCTGTTTTTCAGGTGCTGGATGCTCCCGAGGCACTTAAAGCAACCGTTGACCATGATGGCCATCCGAGTGCAGAGGGCTTCACACTCCTCCATGCTGTCAAAAGAGAGGAAAAAAGGGGGAAAAAATTGATTTTTTGTAATAAAAGCCCAGGGCTCGGTATGCTACTTTCTAAATAAGGACACATTGTAAAAAGCAAGGAGATGCAGCTCATTCAACTGAAAGGGGTCTATTCAAGGTAAAATGTTTTTTATGCAACGAGGAAATTTAATGACATCCAAAACAGCCTCGTTCAAAGACATGTTTCCTCTTTACGATGAAGGTCCGGGCCTGAGCACTTTATATGTCCACTCTGACACCTTAAACGGGGGATAAATTTGATAATTAGTGGGAGAAGAGAGGGCCATCTGTAGTTCTATTATCTCATTTCTCTCTTTTTCTCTCTCTCTTCGGCTGCAACGCCAGCCAACTGTGGATGAGGCAAAGCCTGTGATTCATCGCTGAAGGATGGTGCAAATAGGATTATGACTTTGTAAAACCGGGTGAATTTGCCACTTAACAAAACACAACCACCTGCTCGTGACATGGACAATTGGATGCAGCTCCGCCACATTGCCTGCGACGGCGACAACAACAACAAATGCTTTTATTTCACCATGAAAGAGAGCACGTGCAACGAAGAGATTACACTGATCATTCACCGCGCCGCCGGGGAGAACAAATCTCTGCGTCTGGGACAATGTTCAAATGGTCCCATGGCAGGCTTGCTCAATTTTAGTTTTCAATTTAGTTCCCATTTAACAAAATTTATGTTTTTATTGGTTTAAACGAAAATAAACTTGTAGTAAATTGGTGCAAAACAATAGGGACCCCCCCAAAAAACCAACTCAAGTTTGTTTCGGGAAGTGTTGGATAATGAAAAGACTCCAGCACTGATATTGACAGATTTTCCTTTGAAAGAAAGAGAAAGAAAAAGCACCAGCCAGTCAATATGCCCTCGCGCTCCATGAAAGCTTTATAGAAGCTGGTGTGTTTCTGGTAGCCGATAATAACTGCCACAAACGGAACGAAAAAAAAAAAACTCCTAACAAAGGGCTACTTCAATCAATCATAATCACAATATTCATAGCTCTCATCCATTTTACAAACAGTTGTGTAAAAATTATGAAAAAACAGTCTAAAAATGTTGACGGGGTGAATCTGCGAAAAAGGAGAATGCATAGATGAGTGATGCAGCAACCTGTGTGATGTGAGGATGACTGAGCGTCCCTCTTTGATGACACTCAGGATGCAGTCCCACAGGAAGCGCCGGGCTTTGGGGTCCATCCCGGTGGTCGGCTCATCCTGAAATAAATAAAACCAGCTTTTTTCTCTCCCTTTCACCTCAACACAACATTTGAGAACAAACCAGAGTGGAAAATGTGTAGTTTTTAACAGATCTAAAAGCTTTCAAGTAAAATTGTGACATTCAGTGACAAACGCTGTAAAACTGGCTTTTCTGACTAAACTAACGGAGACTATGTACATTTTTCTCAATTTGGAATTATTGTGTTGTAGCGGTTGCCAACACCCGTTATATGATTAATAAAAGAAAAAAAGTAAATAAAATAATGTTTAAAAAACACACAGCAGTGCATTGGAGATGAGTTTTTTGACCAATGTGCACATAATGAGGACACATACAGGCAGACACACAGAGCGCCACACTGCAGTTTCCTTTCTCCTCGGGGCCAGTCTGTTCATACACGATTAGAGTGACAGAGCTCAGTCTGACTGGTTTCATTCCAGACATCCCTCAGTAGCAGAATCCTACAAATCCCACAGGGTTTCTCCATCAGGATGCCCAACATGAACTTTTGCAAAAAATAAAAATAAAAAAAGCCCCAATGTGGCTCAGCCTCAACCCGGGCTCCCAGGGCTAACACACAACACTTAAACTGACAAGGACGATTTCCCCACACTGCTTGGAGCTGTTGGCTTGGAATGGTGTGCACAAACTGATCCGGGGCAAAGCTGCAAAGATTATCCTATTACATGTAATTTATTGAGGATTATTCATACTTGACTCCAGTTATTAGAACATAAACCAATGAACTGCTGTAAATTAAGGCAGGAAATGCATTACAGTATGCAAACATATCATAAACTAAGATTAATTGGGGTTGCATTACCTCATAAACGCATAGAAAATCAAATTATTAGAATAACTTGAGGCTACCTGAGCTAAAAAGCTGTGTAGTGGCTAGTTTGTTTGCAGGATTACTGAAAAAAGTGACATAGGTAAACGCACAAAAGTCTTGCAATGATGGTTACAAATGAAAATGAGCTTAAAAAAGAAGAATATGTTAATATTTATTGCAAGCTCCCATGTTAAAAGATAGATCCGTAGTAAAACAAGTAAACAAACTGCAAATTAAGCCCCGCCCCATTTGGGGGGTAAGTTTATTGACCACAAGCTAAACTTTTATCGGATGCCGTCAATGAAAGTCACAGGTGGTTCATAAAGTTGGTTTCATTATTTAAGCAATGTTAACCTAAAAAAGAAAGAATGATGAAAAATAAGATTTGTGAATTCTGTTGTTGTCGTTATGTAAACACTATAATTTAGCATAAAATACATCCGTCATGTGGGAACATTTGGGACTCAAAACTAAACTCAAAACTCTAATTTCCCTCTGGGATTAATAAAGTATTTTTGAGTTGAATTGAATTGAATTCTATTTGAAAAATTGAGAAAAATCGAAACACTTCATTAGCATCTGGGTAATCCATCTGAAGAATGCTAGTTAGCATGATCTATGATGACAATTACTACTGATATGTTAATACTTGGTGGACTATCAACACATATGAAGAACAAAACATCACCTCCTTCTGATGTTGTTTTAAAATGACACCATGATCTTGTGGTTTTACAGCTTGAGGTTAGGGTTAGTTAAAAAACTAATATTAAGTAAATTTAAAAATGATTTTCTGAAAGTACAGCCTCAACTGTGAATCAAAAACATCAATATGTTATTTGAGCTGTATTTATATGTTTTGTCCGAACAACTACTTTTTTCATTCATCCTTGTAGGTTTTATAAGGAACTTTTAATAGCTTGATGTGTCATCCCGCTTTTATATTTTGCTACTGTTCAGCACTTTGCACAACCCTCCTGTTGTGTTTGAAAGTGCTATAAAATGGTACGGTATTAACATACTGGGGGAGGTTTATTTTTTGTTTTAACTTTAAAGTTTCTGTTCTGAGGTCTAGCAAACATATATGGTTAAAGAAATCTAAACAAACTGAAGCCCCGCCAACACTTCTCACAATGTTTTATCTCGGCCCGGCCATTCCACATAATCACAAATTTACATTTTTGATAACATTTATAAATATCCCTAGAAAAACAAACATCTGGAGTTGTGTAGACGAGGGCCTAAATGATCAAATCCATCCACCAAAGATTATATGTGCTGAGATAAGACACATCAGGCCACCAGGTGTTGGTATTTGTCCAGTTGTGATTAATTTCAATCTTATTTATTAAAGTGTTTTGTATTTAACTCACAAGACTGTTGATTGTAATGATAGGAACAGTTGAATGGTTGTTTCACCTCCTAAATAGTCAGGAGACTGAAGGGTAAAGACCTAGGCGTGTTTCCCTGATCTACTATCAGAAAATCCATCTGCCTTTGGTTTTCAGACCTGATGAACAAGAATTTAATTTAATATGTGGAAACACTGTAATTTACGTTCCACGTTCTCCTAATGCTTCTGGGTCCTTTTTTGTAGAAAAGTCATTAATTAAAACATGACCGTTGTGTGAACCCCAGAAATTACACCCCTCTGATCCTTGTGTCATCCACTTTGGTGAATTCATTAAAGAATTACACGTTTAATCCACTTATTTATATAAATCAGTCATCTCAAAACAATCTGTAAGTATGCAAAGACACAACCTAAATATGTGCACAGTATAACTGTTGACTGAAACTATCACACACTTTCATAAAACAACAGAATATCACATTTCCAGATAATAAATTAATAAATCTGTGTCTCACCAGGAAAATCACCGGGGGACTCCCAATCAGAGATATCGCCGTGGAGAGCTTACGTTTGTTCCCACCACTATACGTTCCTGCTGACTTGTTGGCATATTTGACCAGTCCCAACTTCTGAATCCCCCATTCAGCCACCTTTTGAAAGGAGAAGACAAAGCGGCCATTATGGTGCCAAGAGACATGTCTTTAAAAGCCCAGACACTGAACTTATGATCTCATGATGGATGAGATTTTGCCTTCAGTTCTCTGGTGAATTTGAGCTCTGTAGTTTTCAAGGACAGGACATGACAGCTGGCATCTCTGTTAGAGCTAAATCACAGGTCGTAGAGTGACTTTACTGTTCTAACAGCTATTTCAGCAGTGGTGGGTCTATTGCATAAAGTGTAGGACAATACAAATTTCATGTATAGAAACTTCAGGAGTCATGGGGAAAACTTAATAGAGGTTACCTGATTTTTATTACCTGATTTTACATTTTGATTAAATACCACCTTATAGACACAGATATATAGATATATAATATAGATATAATATTTATATATATATATTAATATAAAGTTTCTTATTAACTCATTCACTGCCATTGACGACTATAGTCGTCATTTTAGATCCAACCGTTCACCGCCAATGACGACTAAAGTCGCCATTTGCATGATTTTACTGTGTGGGCATCGGAACGAGCCCCCACACAATGAGAACAAACATCTCAGCTCTAAAGCCGATCTTCATCCGCATATGTCACACGTCACATGATCAGGAAGCAGAAAATCCATGTGTTAGGAGATCGTTTTGGGCCGCTGCGAGTGAGGCGCGAACCGGAAAAGCGTCTGCCGATCACAATTCAAAAACGGATTATGAAAGAACGGATAAAGCTCGAAACGCGCGGATTCTTCCTGATGTAAGAGGTGAGTCTCTGCTTTGTTTTGGTTGTTTTGGCGTTGACATCATCCTAGCACGCAATGTTCTGTGACTCTTTAAAAAAACAATAAAAACTGTGAGAAACACTGGCAGCGAATGAGTTAAAGGGGACATATTATGCAAAACTCACTTTTTGCATCCTATAATCAATCAGAAGACATTGTTATTTTTGACAGTATTTTGTCACAAATACATTTTTACAGACAAAAATGAAATGAAAATGAAAACAATTGAATAAAGATTAAAACAATAATAAAATTGATCGACATTGTTATAAAAAATAAATGACGAAAATTGACAATGACAACAATCCAATCAGAAGGTAGAAAAGATGTGAGGAAGGAACAAAAGTACCACCCAACAAATGGAACAGTAAGGACTAGAGAAGAAATCAAATAAAGGTCTGCTTTAATGAGAGGTGAAGCAGGGCTAGCTGCATTTTGACCAAGCTCGTGGAAAGGCTATTCCACGGCTGGCGAAAAGCAATAAAGGGACTATATCATGCTATACTTCTTCCAGAGAAGCATGCTAGTGAAGGTTCTCAGTCATCCAGGTCATGGTAATCCAAAAGGGTTCAAATGAAGGCAACTGGACTTCTTTGGTTTCTTGAAGAAATTTTGCTTTTCATCCGAGGAGCTTTGCCAATTCTGAATGGAATATGGGAGTGTCGAGCTTATAAACCACAGCTGTCTATTGTTGCTTAACGAGTAGAACCTATCCATGAATACCCCTCCTCCCTACCCCGATGAGATGTTGTCATTTTTCTTCAAATTATTCTCTTAAGTGTTGGTGTTGCTGTCACAAGCAAATTTCCGCTTATCCATCCATCCATCCATCCATCCATCCATTTTCATCCATCTATCCAGAGTTGGGTCGCGGGGGCAGTAGCCTAAGTCGAGAGGTCCAGACTTCCCTCTCCCCAGCCTTTTGGGCCAGCTCCTCAAGGGAAATCCCAAGGCGTTCCCTGGCCAGGTGAGAGACATAGTCCCTCCAACGTGTCCTGGGTCTACCTTTAGGTCTCCTCCCGGTTGGACGTGCCCGGCAAGCCTCACCAGGGAGGCGTCCAGGAGGCATCCTGACAAGATGCCCGAGCCACCTCAACAGGCTCATCTCGATGTGGAGGAGCAGCGGGTCTACTCCAAGCCCCTCCCGGATGACTGAGCTTCTCACCCTATCTCTAAGGGAGAACCCAGCCACTCTGCGGAGAAAACTCATTACGGCCGCTTGTATCGGCGATCTCATTCTTTCGGTCACTACCCAAAGCTCATGACCATAGGTGAGGGTAGGAACGTAGATTGACCGGTAAATTGAGAGCTTTGCCTTCTGACTCAGCTCTCTCTTCACATATTTGACCAGTCCCAACTTCTGAATCCTCCATTCAGCCACCTTTTGAAGGGAGAAGACAAAGCGGCCATTATGGTGCCAAGAGACGTGTCTTTAAAAGCCCAGACACTGAGCTTATGATCTCATGATGGATGAGATTTTGCCGTCAGTTCTCTGGTGAATTTGAGCTCTGTAGTTTTCAAGGACAGGACATGACAGCTGGCATGGATGGAGCTTTGGGTAGTGAAAGATCAAGATCACAGATACAAGCGACCAAAATGAGTTTTGTCCACAGGGTGGCTGGGCTCTCCGTTAGAGATAGGATGTGAAGCTCGGTCATCTGGGAGGGGCCTGGAGTAGATCTGCTGCTCCTCCACAATGAGGAGAGCCAGTTGAGGTGGTTCGGGCATCTAATTAGGATACTTCCCTGATGAGGTTTTCCAGGTATATCCAACTGGGAGGAGACCTAAAGGAAGACCCCCGACACGCTGGAGGGACTATCCCCTTCTTTCCACCGGAGCCGTCAGCAGCACGTTACTGCAGCAGCATGTCATAGCTACTGATAGGAACCGCTGTAGTCAACAGAACCTTTTCCACCTGAGCCGTCAGCAGCGCGAGTCGGCCGCGTCTCAGGAGCAGCATGTCGCGGCCCTTACGCGCCGGTTCCATTTTCTACGCGCAACGCCTCTGAAACGGGTCAAGTTCGACATTTTTGGGGAAGGAAAGACAGGAAATCGGACGCGAAAACGGAGCGAAGCTCCCGAGATTTTCAGAATAAAGAAACGTACTTCCTTCCGGTTGCTTTACTTTTAAAAAAGTTACTAACTGTGCGGCCCCGTGAGAAGTTATCACCTAGCTAGCGGTCTCCTTTGTTTTTCAGGTCCGTATTGGCGATTATAAAACGGACAGAACATAAAACACAAACCTTTTGGAGCCATGTCGTAATTTTCTCCTGCTTGTTGTTGTGTTTACTGACGAAGTCACTCGTGTGACTTCGTGCTCTGTCGGTGACAGCTGCTCCCCTGCTGCTTCGCGTCTCGTGCGAAGGGCCAAGCAGCAGTTTACGCGAGCAAGACTTGCTGCTGACAGCTGCGGTGGAAAGAAGGGGTAAGGCTACGTTCACACTGAAGGTCTTGATGCTCAATTCCGATTTTTTTGAGTAAATCTGATTTCTTTTTTGTGTGGCTGTTCACATTATGACATCAAATTTTCTCCGGTGCGAATGCTTCACGGCCCCAAAGCGACCCGCATGCACAGAAGAAAAGAAGTCACTCAGTGGAGTCGGAACCAGGAGAGGAGGAGTTGTGATGTGAAAGCCTTCACTGACAGTTTATCCACAGGATCAGGATCACATCAGTTCCCCCGTTTTGGGTTGAAAACTGTTTCAACAACTGTAAACTATTTCACTCCTTATTCCCGCCATCTTCCTGAATTATTATTCATTGAAAATGTTCGGGCGTTAAGTTAATTCACGGAGGACCGCCCCGCTCTCATGAAGACACCCATTCCCTCCCTTCACGGGGACTGAGACTGGTGAGACGCTTCGCTCCAGCAGCACCTGCCGCTCCTGTTATACTCTTCTGCATTTTTAATCCCTAAACTTGACAGGATGTTCCCGACAGACCTCTGAATCCTTCTGTCAGCGTTTCTCCTCAGGAACACGACTCTCACCATCCACTGACTCAGTAATGGAAGAGATGGATTTAATGTGACATGGCCGTTCAGACTGCAGTTGCTTAAAAAGAAATCAGATATGTATCTGAATCAGCACCGCATGTGAAAGTCACATGAATCGGATTTGAAAAAAAAAATCGGATCTGTGCTGTTCAGACGGTCATAAAAAAATCAGATATGGGTTGCATGTGGGAGGAAAAATTAGATTTGATTTTATTTGATGCGCTTTTGCCAGCAGTGTGAACGTAGCCCATGTCTCTCGGCTGGCCAGGGAACGCATTGGAATTCCACCAGAGGAGCTGATCCAAGTGGGTGTGGAGAGGGAGGCTGGGCCTCTCTACCTAGACTGCTCCCCCCGTGGTCCGAGTTGATGCCAAAACCGTTTCAAACCAGCCACTGCCATCTTTGTGTTTTGCTCAGTTACAGTAACATTCCCTTCACCAAACTGATAGAGCGCTGTGACTGGCAAGACACGAGGCTGTTCAGGCCTAGTGAGGCTCCTATGGAGCGTAGATAGACCTACATACAAGGTAAAAGCCTTTTGCTTCTGCTGCTGTCTTTAGATTTCTACGGCATGTGTGAACAGATTTTTATTAACTTCTGACTCATAAAACCTTCGGCCTTAAAACAATCTTAATTTTTACAATGATTACACCGTTTGTCAACAGTTTTTTTAACAAGTTTGTTTAAACTGACTCGCCCTAGAAACAGCAACACGATGCATTATTACGCCAGCAGCGCAGTGCTTGGTCCCTTTACAATGTAGCTAAGACACAAAGCCCTGGCACTGGGTCTAAAACCTGTGGTCACTGCCAGCCGCCTTCTTCTTTTCATTTCACTGCTGCAGAAAGAGGCGGTGTGAGCGGAGAGCAGGGAGTCCGCCCAGGGCATGACACACCACTGGGCACTGTGAATAATGTAGAGCCATCACCCACAGCTGCTGCTTTTCCTCTACTAGCCATTTTGTTTTATTATGCATGGCTTCTCCCACTGAGGTCATCTCTGACTTTTATGTTTTTTTGTTTTTTGTTTCCCATACACCCCTGTTAGTGAACAAGTGGTATAGTGGTGACACAGACAGAAATTTGAATAATATTTGAGTTTTTCCACTTACTTACACCAGCTGCTTGCATAGTCATGATAGATGACAAAAGTGCAATAATTACCATGGCAACTTCGTTTTCTGGTACCCCTCTCAAGCGGGCGTAAAACTCCAGATGCTCTCGTCCTGTCAGAAGGTCGTTGATGGCATCAAATTGTGGACAGTAACCCATGTTCTGGTGAACATGCCTCATCTCTGTTCGTATGCTGTAAAATGTAACAAAAAAAGACATTTTCCAAGACAGATGCTGACAATTGTCTGACAAGATGAGTTTAAGAGGAAAGCTTCTGAACATTAGGTGTAAATGACATGACTGCAATCTGCTTTGTGATCACAGAGTTATTGTGGGGCACCGTACAGACAGAATGCTCTTTAAGAAAGAAATTAGGGCGAAATAAGGAGGAAAGCATAGCATAGCATAGCATAGCATAGTTTATTTATGTAGCACATTTAAAACGCAGCATGGGAGCTGCCCAAAGTGCTGCACAGGCTAAAACCAAACACAACCATTCGAAAGAACTAAAACAGAGGATAAAAATCCCAATCAAAAGCAGATAAACATGATGAATACTAAGAACACATTAAAACAATGATACAATAAAACACTAAAACAAGTCACTGTCTAAAAGCCAAAGCGTAAAAGTGGGTCTTTAAACGAGATTTCAAAACCGCCAGAGATGGAGCCTGCCGAACTCCAATGGGCATTGAGTTCCATAGCTTAGGGGCAGCATGGACAAATGCTCGTTCACCCCGCGATTTGAATCGCATCCGCGGCGTGTACAGCAGCAAAAGGTCAGCTGACCTCAACGTGCGCGTGGGCACATATGGAGTGAGCAGGTCAGAGAGATAGGGAGGTGCCAGGTCATTGAGAGCTTTAAATACAAAGGTCAGTAACTTAAACTGCACTCTGAAAATGACAGGGAGCCAGTGAAGATGTAACAGGACAGGGGTTATATGACTACGTCGGTGTGTACTCGTCAAGAACCTGGCAGCAGCATTCTGGACGACCTGCAGCCGATTCAGGGCGGATACCGGAACACCAACGAGGTGTTTGGTGAAGCACCAAAGATGTAGGAATTAGGATAGTATCAGACATTAGAAAAGTAACAAGACTGCAGCAAAATGTAGTTACAGTGAAACATCAACAACTGCAAACACATTCAGACTTTACAAAGAGACCAACCAGCCAGAGGCAGTGTCCTGAATATTGCTGCACAAAGCAACGTAGAGACCATGAATGTACACCAGATTCTGGCTCAAGATAAAAATTAAATCCATTTTTCCTGATATATATGTGCTATTAAAGCAGGAATCCACTGTTGGACCACATTTCTTATGTGAAGGACTTAGACGACACAAGCAAAGGGTTTTGGGGACTGTCAAAGAGAACTGTTGTAATCAGGCGGTTTCAGGTAATTCACTCAGTTCTGAGTAAGAGACAGAAAGGTGCAACAGATTACATATGGTAGCATGCTAAAGTAACAAAAATAATAATGAAAATGGGTTTCTGGTGGATCTGGTGCGTACCAGATGGTAACTTGTGGACATCAGATACAATCATGTGCGCTTGAGATGTTAACTCCTCCTCCTTTCCTAATATGTAATACATAGTGCACTTTTTGTTCATCTGACAATTTCGATGGAGAGGCCCAGTTGTAGTTTTTCTCATTTTTTAGTTTCTGTTTTGTAGTTTTTGTAGTTTTATTGGTGTCATCTGGATAGTTTATTCCAGCAGACACCTTGAGGGCCAAGTATTATTGCATCTTGATTTATTAATATTTAAAAGGGCTTTGTTTTCCATCTAAACTGGTTTGGTTGTAATTTTGGTTATGTTTGGAGAACGTAAACAATTACTGATATTTGGGACATGAATTTTGCTGCTAAACTTCAAAAGCCCCACATTGTGAGGCGTTAGGGCCCAAAGGGTTAGGGTGGAAAGTTCTGGCGAGCTAGATGTGGCCCGTGGGCCGCCAGTTGAGGTTCACTGCACTACACAATATGGTTAAGTAGTTGTTAATTCTTTGATTAACAGTTTATTATTGCTTGATAATGCATTAATAATGCATTAATACAAAGCTGTTGTACTTATCCATATTGATTTAACTGTTTATCAATGCCCAATAAAGCACTAAGGAACGTTAATAAAGGGACCCTTATTATAAAATGTAACCACATTTTTATGGTGCTTTAAGTTTTTTTCTGTGCTATAAGGCCTACAAGCTTTGTAGCACCAGTGCTACTAGCTAAAAATGTTAACATACAGCCGTGAATCAGAAAATAACAACCATTATTAAAAAATGAGGTCCATCAAAAAGTATTTTATAACAAGTAAAGCATTAATTGTTTTTGTTTCCACAGAAACCGACTATAAAATATCTGAACTGGTACTCTTAGGCCCTGTCCACACGTAGCCAGGGATCTGCCAAAACGTAGATATTTTTCTACGTTTTGGCCTGTCATCCACACGAAAACGGATCTTTTTAAAAACTCCGGCCAAAGTCAAGATCTGTGTTTTCTCCGTTTTGGGTGTCTGCATGTGGACAGACAAAACCGGAGTTTTAAGGTCCGCAACGTCACTTTCCGCGACAAAAAATGCTGACATCACGTGTGCGACCTGTGTTTACACTAGCCGACAGCATGGATGCCCTCAGAGCTGCGCTCGCTTTATCAATTGTCCAAGCGCTTTTTGCTTGTTTGGTTTTGCAAGCGGAATTACTGCTCCTTGCGGAAGACCACAGACGAAGGACGAGGTTAAGAACGGGGGAAGTACTGCCGCCTACAGGTCTGGCATGTCCTTAACAACGTAATTATCCGGGTACGTGTGGACAGAGTTTTTTTTTTAAACGAGGTGGTGTGGATGCAAGTCTTTGGAGGGGCGGATATTCGGTTTAAAAAAAACCCGGCTACGTGTGGACTAGGCCTAAGGCCCGGCGATGAGGAGAACAGTTACAGAGAAGAAAACCACGGATTTCCTTAATGTTGTGCCGATTACAACTGATTCTGAGAAAACCATCAAATACTCAACCTACCTTGATAAGAAACAGAGAAGAAGGGCTGACTGAGTAAAATCCTTTATTTGTCTTTGAAACTCCTCTGACAGATTGTAAAATAAAACCTCTCTTGTATTGTAGTCTCAATTAAACGTCACTAAGCCATCATTTTTGAACACACACACACGTCTGTTTTCATCACACACTGGCATAAGTGGCATAGTGGATTTTCTTTCATCTTGTCAGAGCAGCTTTGTTTCCAAAAGGTTTTTTCGCCTAAATGTTATTTTCCAAGAGAAGCGGTCAGCCTAAGGGACGCTGACTGTGACTTGATGTGTCTTCAGACTGATAAATCCCAACAGGGCCTCTGTAAACTGAAAGACCCAGTCACCTAACGCTGTGTTTTGTTCTTGTTTTGTAAAAGGTTTATGATAAGTGTCGGTAATGGCCTTCAGCCGAGGCAGAAACGGGCCTTTGGAATGGTTCTGACAGGAGTAAACGCTGTTTTTAAAGCTTTAAATCAGAAATTCACAGACCCTGTTTTCTGTGATTTGTCAAATTTGATTAAAGGTCTAAAACATACCTTTGATTTTCCTAATTTCTCTTTCCTTTCATCAATCTACGCCAAAAAGTGTCCAACGTCAATTACAAACAGGTTGTTGCTGTGTTTAATTGCTGTTTTATCAAAATAAAAAGTCCTATTTCAGAACCTAATACCACTTTTCTGACAAAAGTGATCTTTACAGTAAAGTATGCTCTGTGACCACTGGGACACCTGTGCCAAATTAAATTCTCTGAACTTATTTTAAAGATGGTACACAGTGGTAAATAGAGGCCTAACTTCCACCAGGCCTGTCCTTACACCCATGAGCCTAAATCGTGTCCCAGATTTGGGAAAAATGTTGACCAAAATGGCGACTGGTGTTTAGCAAGCAGTTCGTTCGCAAACGTCACAACTCTACTATCTCGTTTACTCTGGCAATGTGGGATCTGGTATGAGGCAAAGAAGGGTGAGAGTTCTGTGACTGTGTTTGTGTTTAAAGGCTAGCCTGTTCTGTAGATTTGCCACATCGTGCATTTATTGAGATACAGAACAAATCTTTTGAAATCCATATGCTGTGCTTTCGATTGCAGCTGATCTGTTCCAACCTTATTAATCCAATCCAATTCCCAACCAAGCAACAGCCTTTTGATGTCCTTTTTCCTCTTAACACCAAAAGACCGTCACAGATTTCCAACCCAAAGTGAGCGCGGTAGCTTCTTTTTTTAACTTCCAACAGACAGCAACACCAGGAAGCAGAAGTGAATTCCTCGTGAGCCCAAAATTTCTGATAAGAGACCGCCAATTGCTAGGAGAGCAGAAACATCTGTTTAAGAACTGTTGCTTTCTCTCTTCTGCCGATTGCTGCACTTGCAAACACAGAAAGAGAAAATATAATGAGATGAAAACAGAAGAGTGGGTGTTGCCAGCTCACATGTTTTCCCTCTCTTTTCTGCTGCACCCCCCAAAGGTCTCGGAGAGTTTTCTTTGATCGCTATCGCCCACATTAATCAACATTAACAGCGCTGTGTTAGACCTTGCTCCGTACAACTCCGTTCCTTTGTTGAACACAAAGTCAATTACCAGATGTATAAATGAACATCTATACCAACCGCTGTGACACACACAAGCACACACACGCCGCATTCGGATGCACCGACACAAAGATCTTGCACATCCAGGAGAAAAAAACGGAACAGGGTTGTTTGTTCCTAAAAATAAGAAACAGCAAGCCTAGTTTCTCTCAAGTTGCTTGTGTCACATTTTGTTGTTGTCAAGGTGTTTTTTTACACTCCGCATGGAAAAATAAATCTTTATAGCAGATTTTTGTAAGGCTGAGACAAAAAGCAGAGGCAGGTACAGGGCAAGAATGTCAAAAGGAATGAAATATGTGTGAGAGAGAGGGAGAAAGCTTCTGCTTCTCTCAGAATGCTGGAGTGAAGAGACAAGAGAGCACCAGAGGTAAGGAGGAGGACAGAATGTAGAACAGAAATCCAGAGATGGAGCAGCTCGAATCCCACCTGAGCAGCTACCTTGGGTGGCTAATTGTGATGAGTTACTAGGTGCACTAGTGGGACTCGGCACCTCACCTGTATCCGTTTAGAAAGGCCTCTCCGCTGGAGACTGGGATGTCTCCTGTCAGCATCTTGAACGTTGTGGTTTTCCCAGCTCCGTTGATACCCAGCAAGCCAAAGCACTGGCGGAGGAGATGAGGGAGGCATCCATTAGGAAAACACACAGACAGATGGAATATTCAAGATTCTTCGTGAGTTTTTCTTTCTATTCATTAATGTGTATAATGAAGTGTATATATAGTAGGAGTGTAACGGTGCACATTAATCATGGTTCGGTGGGTACCTCGGTTTTCAGGTCACAGCTGAGTCCAACAACTTTATTTTTCCCTTCCAATTATTTGAAACATAAAACAACACCCAGAAGTGCACATAGATGACTCGTTACCCGTGTCACATTGGATTCATAAGCTATTTGGAAGTGGGAACGTTCTTATAGAACATGAGTCAGACAAGAGATCTGATGATCAACTAGAAAAACTGTAAAACGTGTTCTTATTGAAAACGATTGGTCACGCTTAGTTTCACATGCATGCAGAATATCTTCTACCTCTAATTCTTGCCTTAGCCTCGGATAGGCAATAGGTAGGGAAAAGATCGGGGTGGCTTCTGTGTCACACTGTAAGTACCGGCATTCATGGACTCACCCACTTTGGCTCAATAAGGCTGTTGTTGATTTAGCTTCCAGGAGAGAGCAGAGCATTTCTCGGCTAGTAAAAGCTAACTGTTAGCATTAGTAACTCCACCACATGGCAGAATAAATCACTGGACAAATTCAATTCAAATTCAATTCAAAAATACTTTATTAATCCCAGAGGGAAATTGATTTCCTCTGTGCCGTCACCAGCAGGTTTCAGAAGAGCTGGATTTAGGCCCAGTGGGCGGTTCTTGTCACTTTTAGGAACACAAAAATGCAGCTGAGAGCGGGCTGTGATGGTGGATGATGATGACTGACATTAACAGATGGACACTCTTTGTGTAGCTACAAGCTAGCTAAGCTAACAGGAGGTAACGGAGCTTGGTAGATGCTTTTAGCTCAACACATTCTCACACCCTAAGTGTCAAAAAATGACGTGGTATGACCAAGCGTTTGTGCTAGAGTGTCGGTATCCGATGCCCACGGGAACACAGACATTTGAACAATTGTGACCTTTACCCTCTTGCTATTTAACCTTCCCCTCACCCCAATTCTAACCTTAACCAGTTTGTGCATGCAAAGCTTTGTTTCGCATTTCATTGTTCCTCTCAAACACGCTTAACTGAAAATTTAGACTGACTTACTGGGTTAAGGTCAGGATGGGGGTGAGGGGAAGGTTAAAGCTCTAGAGGTTAGAGGTGAAATGTCAGTGAAATCTCTGTTTTACCACGGGCGTCAGATACCAATGCTCTGGCACAGCACGTCACCTCCCGACGCGCAGGGGCTCCCAACCCATCCGAAACAAATGCTTGGTCACACCCCGTCATTTTTCGACGCATAGAGTGTGAGAAGGTGTTCAGCCAGAAAACCACACTCTTCTACCCTCTACCATTTAGGCTGTAACATTTAAGTTGAGGCCAACGCTGAGGCCTTCCCTGGAGCAAGCAGGAGCAAGCCGCTAGTGCTAGCATGATGGCTTATCTGCTACGTCAATCAAACGGATAAGACCCTAGTAATTCTTCAAGCTTCGATTACATCTGAAAAAAAAATCCCCCCCAGAGTTGTCATGGTGGTAACTTGAGCTATCAAACCTAAAATGTGTTTTTTTGAACCAGACCAAGAACATGTTTATTTCTGCTGCGAAGTTGTCACTTTCAACACAGGAGTTAATGGTAACCTGCTCCTCATGAATATTGTTGAGTAAGACTCCAAATCATGACGTACATTTTGATCCTGTTCGGTATCCAAGGTACACAAGTTTTACTCTTTTGACATTCCAAACACAAAGCAGAGTCATTTTTGCTTTCCACAGGGACATTTTGACCCTTCTGATTTACCATACACAATTCATTGTGATTATTTACCTGATTTAATTATGATCCTTTTCACTAATTACATATTACAATATATCTGTGTTTCTAAACACAGTTTGGTTATTTTTGCTTCTAATGAACAAATGTGACCTTTTATGAATTTTCATATTGAAACTATGACTGTTTTTTCCTTCCAAACAAACCTTTTGGCTTTCCATGCATACACTATGCACTTTTGGGCTTCAGAAACACAAAAATGCAATCTTTATTTCCCTGAATGTAGAAATCACAATCTCTTTAGCACTCAGATTGTAACCTTTTTGGAATTTTATCCTCAAACTAGATTTATTTTAGCTTTCCATACAGAGAGTGTGTGTAACCATCACTCTGAGTTCACAGGATATGAATGACTAGCTGAATGTTTTACAGAGAAACACAAACAAAACTGGCAGTGAATCAACAGAGATGCAAACACTGTGAAGTCCTAGAGCAGCTCTTCTTCCTCTGCAAATTGCTACAACAAACAGAATCCTCTCTTTGAATTTTCATCCCAACATCCATGTGGCAGGAAGTCTTCTCCGTGGAGCCCGGCGGCCATGTGACCCGCCTCAGGTAACTCTGACTTTGACATAAATATTTGATTTCTGTCATTCATTGATCCCTGCTTGTTTGTGACCTGCGCCCATGAACGCACGGAGGAAGGCTAAGCTTGGCGTAAATAATGCATGGAAATGGGTTGTGTGATCAGCAGAGCCCCGCGAATCACAATATTCCTCTGGCATTTACTCTGGGCTCTGGGTAAACACCGACATGGAGGATGGATACCAGGAGGAAAAGCCTGCTGAGCACGGGCCACTGTCAGCGTTTGAGACTGTGTTTAAATCAGGCTGTGTGCACAAGACGAGCATTTAAGCCAAGTGAAATGTCTAACATGTTATAAAGACAAGCTTTCTGCAGTTTCCAGGTTGTTATATTGAACTAGTTTGAATTCAGATGTCCAGAGTTCCAGTGCACAAAGAACCAATGCTTAACATCCTTATAATAAGAATCAGAAGTTTTATTGCCATATGTGTGCCAAGTCACAACATTAGGAAATTGCTGCAGTATTTTGGTGCAGAAGGTGAGATAGAAAAAAATTAATTAAGAGATAAGCAAATATAAGAAGTAATAAAACACTCATGATAAAATTATTAATGTAAAAAGTGGCAAGAATTAGAGAAGTAGCTATCTACCCCGTGTAGGTATTTATCTGAGTATTTGTTGAATGTTTCAAGCACAGCATCGGGTCACGTGACTGGGACCAATCAACTTGAGTGGGCTGCCCTAGGATTTTCATTCAAAAGTCCAACTGCAGAGGGGAAGAAACTGTTTTTGTGGCGAGAGGTTCTGGTCCGAATGGATCTGAGCCTTCTGCCAGATGGGAGCGAGTCGAAGAGACTGTGTCCAGGGTGAGACGAGTCAGCTATTATCCGACCTGCACGCCTCAATGTCCTAGAGGTGTACAGATCTTGAATGGAGGGGAGTTTGCAGCCAATGACCTTCTCTGCAGAGCGCACGACACGCTGCAGCCTCTTCTTGTCCCTGGTGGTAGCTCCAGCGTACCACACGGTGATGGAGGAGGTGAGGATGGACTCGATGATAGCGGTGTAGAACTGCCTCATTGACTGTGGTGATAGGTTGAATTTCTTCAACTGCCTCAGGAAGTACATCCTCTGCTGGGCCTTTTTTCTGATGGTGGTGATGGTGGGCTCCCATTTGAGGTCCTGGGTGATGGTGGTGCCCAGGAAGCGACATGAGTCCACCATCGTGGTGGGAGTGTCAGACAGGTTTAGGGGGGGATGGGGTGTGTGTGTTTCCTAAAGTCCACAACAACCTCCGCTGTCTTCTGGGTGTTTAGCACCAGGTTGTTTTGGCTGCACCAGGACACCAGCCGTTCAGCCTCCATTCTGTAAGCGGACTCATCCCCATTAGAGATGAGTCCGATGATGGTGGTGTCGTCAGCAAACTTAATTAGTTTGACAGACTCATGCTTGGAGGTGCAGCTGATGGTGTACAGGGAGAAGAGCAGAGGAGAAAGAACACAGCCCTGTGGTGAGCCGGTGCTGATGGTCCGTTGGTCCGAGACATTCTTCCCCAGCCTGACTTGTTGTTTCCTGTCTGTCAGGAAGTCAGTGAAACACCTGCAGATGGGGTCAGGCACGTTCATCTGGGACATTTTGTCTTGGAGGAGGTCTGGCAGGATTGTGTTGAATGCAGAGCTGAAGTCCACGAACAATATCCTGACGTAGGTACCTGGGGAGTCCAGATGCTGCAGGATGAATTGTAGAGCCATGTTGATTGCGTCATCTACAGACCTGTTTGCTCTGTAGGCAAACTGCAGGGGGTCCAGGAGGGGGGCTGTGAGGGTCTTGAGGTGGGGGAGAACTAGGTACTCAAATGACTTCATGACCACAGATGTCAGAGCCACAGGTCTGTAGTCATTTAAGCCCCCTTCAGACAGGCCATGAAAAACGGAAATGTTCCGGACTCTGTCCGTAAGAACTTTGTTTCTGAATACAAACATCCGGATTACGTGTTCCGGAATTTATCCGGACGAAGCCCCTAGTAACAGGTCCGGACTTGTTACGGACAGAGTGGCTGCTTCAGACTGGTGAGGTAGAGTTCCAGACAAGGGGAGGGGGAGGAGGAGGGGACCGGGGGACCCTGTGCGCACCTAGATAGCTCGCTCCTGTAGCATGCGACGAACCATGGCAGCTCGCCTTCTACGGTACCACCTAGACGCGCGACGGAGCGCTTCACACCGCTTCAGTGATTCCTTTAACCATTGAGTTTCATCATCCAGGTCTCTTATGCATCTTCGTGTGCGCAGAATTATGCTTAAGCGCCTCGTGATTTTTATCTTGAGAGGCGCTATAGAAATGATATTTTCTTCTTCTTCTTAACATAAGTCCGACCCCCCCCCCCCCCCCCATCCCCCCGCCGCCGCCGCCATCAGACATCTGGAACTTTTCCCTGCTGTGTGAACGCAGCCGAAAGGACAAGTTCCGTTACAAAAGTGGTGTGTCTGAAAACACAGTTCCGGTTAAAAACCAGATTGAATAGCCCACAAATGTTCCAAAATGTCAATCTGAAAAGGGCTTTAGTCCAGTGATTCTTGGTTTCTTGGGGACAGGGACTATGGTGGAGATCTTGAAGCAGGCAGGCACATGAGATTCCTCCAGTGAGGAGTTGAAGATGCTCGTAAACACTGGGGCCAGCTCTTCAGCACAGTGCTTTAGAGTGGCAGGAGCCACGCCGTCAGGGCCCGGGGCTTTTCGTATGTTAAGAGTCCTGGTATTCGTGATAAGAAGAATAGCTGTTTCACTGCCTTCAGTAATTTGTTTACAAGATGTTCTGAATGGAGTCAGTTGGAAGGACGATAAAGAGACAAAACCGCATACCTGTGACTTGGTAGATTGAAATGAGCAACTGGCTCACGCTTATTTTCAAATAGTTTTAAAAATGTGGCTCACTCATTACATCAGTACATTTGCAGCTGTCTCTAGTAGGCATGCATGCCTTACAAGAAGTACTCTGGGGAAAAATAACCCTGGAGCAACCACATCAGAGCTGAGATTCAAACGACTTCGGAGTCTTATTTCCTGATATTTGGACACGTCGCCTCTGATTGGCTAATAGCAACATGACTCAAACACTGACTCCATTTGCTTTGCAACATTGATGTTTTATCCCCACAAAAGCACACGCCTGGAGGACTTTCTGCTGTGTAGTGGAGATGCTAACAGTTAGCTTCTAGTAGCCGAGACGTTCTCTGCTGTTTCGTGGACGCTAAACCAGCAAAAGCCTTTCTTGTCATGAGTCAAGATGGGTGAGTCCATAAATGTTAAGTGACACCGTGACATAGATCTGTCAGGCTTTTATAATCCTAGAATTCAACCATCTAGTTTCTATCAGAAGCTAATGCAGGAGATAGGTGCAGGAGACCATTTTCATGTTCAGCCTGCATGAAACACTGATAGAGTCCAATTATAATCAGAAATAATCATTAATAATGTTTTACAGTGTTCCACACCTTTATAGAAACATTCTCAAATCACCTAAAAAACAGTTGGTCATTCACATATAATATCATGTCTTATAATTATTATTCAAGCTATTGTTTAAAATAAAAGATTTTTTTCTTCTTCTTTTTTGGTTATTTGTTGTTATTTCCCCTAAATTGATGCAAGGAAGTCCTTTGACGCTGACAAAATTAAAACAAACTTTTCTGCTTAAAAAGTGACTTGTGTGATGCAGCAGCATCTGGCTCACCTCTGCAGCAGGCACACCCACACATAGCCTGTCCACGGCGGGGGTGCTCTTCTGAGGGTATACCTGCAGAGAGCAGACAATACAATGAATCAACCAAGCAGCCAGAGAGAAGGCGGGAGGCAGGAGGAGGGTGGGCAGCAGACGGTGAGAGAGATAGAGGTGTGGATGGCTAGAGAGAGAGGAAAAAAATAGAGCGATAGACCGTAGCAGCAGGGAGGAGGCAAGATGGAAGAAACAGGTGGCAAAAAGAAGGAGAAGTGGGGGAGAAAGTGGAGGAAACACATTTTAACAATAGATAATTTGAAAAATTCAGACTGAGCCAGATGGGGGGAAAGAAAAGCCATTAAAGTAAAGTTTTATAGGACAGCGAAGGAAAGGACATAAAAAAAACCGGGTTTGCAACTGCGGTGGCACAATTAATGAGGTAATCTGCTTTGACTTTCAGTACCTAAAGTGCTTCCTGTAAATACAGACTTCAACCACATCTAGTCAAAAAAGACTTGGAGGAAATTAAGCAAAGTGTGCTAAAACCATAGTAAAAGACCTTCAACAACATAAGAGAGAGCTGTCAGTTCTTCGACAAATCTCAAACTTAACAACACGGTTGTGACTTGGTGGTTGTTACATATCAGTTGCCTCTCTCAGTTAACATTAAGTATGTGTTTCTAGCTTTAAAAATGAAATGAAATTGTAAAACTTTACACAAATGTCATGCAATTTTAACTTTTGGTTTAGTCGACATTCAGCACCATGGACAGCTCCCCGGAGAGAATACATATTAAAAATACATTTGAACTGAAATTACGTTAAAAATAATGTTGACCTTTTCCTCGTCTCAGTACTTCACCAAGAAGCAGCCTACTGAGCAATTTATTTTAGCAATAAGGCTAAAATGTCACTGAAATGCTTTTGTTTACAGTGTATGTGGTCCGAACAACTTAAAAACCACAAATCAGACTTTGAATCTGATGTATTTTAAAGTTGAAATGTCTATAAAAGCAGCAACACTTGGTACGGTTAGCACTTCATGGCCTGAAAACACGTGGAAACTGAAATTTCAACCTTGAGTCGTACATAGAGCAGTCCTTGTTTATAAATACCAAATTTATTAAAGTCCAGATAATTGTCATACTATTAAATGTTCAGAGCAATGTTTACATGTGTACATTTCCTTTGCTTTAAGAGTAAACATTCTTGATTTTTGCCTTGAAACATATATTAACTGCTTAAACCATTGGCTTCCAAATTTGGGGTTAGGGTCCCATTGTAGATCATGATAAATGGCCTCTATTGACAAAGCGCCTTCTATAGTCCTATCAGTCATTCACCCATGCACACACACATTCACACACTGGTGGTCATGAGCTACAATGTAGCTACAGTTGTCCTGGGACACACTGACAACAACACTTCAGGTTTCAGAAAATCACATTTACCTGAAAAATAAATCCCGAGAGAACATTTAGAATATAATTTAGATACAATTCAGAATCAATGGTCATGAATATATTGAGAGGCATAAAATAGGCTGACACTGTTTTCTTTTGAATTTACTCTTTTTGGTTTAGCTTTGAGCAATGTTTGTACGGTACATTTTGGGATCACAAGAGACAAACTGAAACGATTTAGGCACTGCTGTGTTGAAAATTTTTTCTATCTTAAAATGCTGAATCTCAATGACACTGAAACCATTTTTATGCATCTTTCAACAATTTTCTACATATGCACCCACAGTCTCAGAAATCATGAAAACCTTATAATGAATTTCCAGTTATCCATCCATTTGAGTCATGGAGGCAGGTGCTCTAATAGGGAAACCAAGACATCTCTCTCCATGGCGGCACTCTCCAGCTGCTCCTGGGGGCTCCTACGGCATTCCCAATTCAGACAGGATTTTAAAAGATTCCAGTGAGTTTTCAATCAGTCAATTCAATCCTGCCAGTGAGTCATGCCCAGAAACCCTACAGAATGAGGTGACCATGCGGCATCTTAATCAAACTATTTTTAATGCTCTAATTCATTTTTCTTCTTTCCCTCTCTCTGACAATATACGGCACCAAAAATGATTATTTCAAAAAACTTCAACCAAGGTGTTCATTTGCAAATTCTCCATTGTCAGCATTTGCTTGTGGCCATGGGACGTGTTTAAACCCACTTGTTTTCACAAGCTCGATTCCTGCTCCAAATTGAAGACCACAAGCGAAGGACATTACAGATGGTTATTGCTCACCAACTAGTTATTCCATGGCCAATTCATTTTCAACAAAGACATAGGATGATTTTGGGAGCTGCAGCCTACAGGCTTGGCATATCTGTGTGCTTCATAATACACTGAATTGTTTTCACTGAAAGCAAGTCAGTGTAGACACAAGTTTTTTTCGTAGATGAGCTGGCCAGGGCTACATGAGTACATGGCCTCAGCTAAGAACCAAGGTCCTTAGATTTGTAAGAAGCTGACTCTGATCCACCTGAACCATCCGAGTGAAAAGGTTGAAGATGCAAACAGAGCTAGACAGTTTGCAAAAATCAAGGATGGGATCCAAAGAAGACAGCTTAAGATCATGTTCATGAAAACCACAAACAGTATGAAAGCTTGACTTTGTTCCAAGAAAGGGGACACAAAACTCTCTGTGCTTCATCCACTCGAGTGACGACATTCAGAATGAGAAGCAGGACAGCTAGAACACTGACATGAGCACAGATATTTTAAAAAGTGCAAACAATAAAAACTAACGTTACAACACCTTATGTGTCTTGGTCAGAGTTACGGTTTCATCCGATAAAATTACATAAGATGACGGAACTTTAACAATTCTTCCAAAGTGTTCAAGTGAATGCAACTGGACTTCTTTGGTTTCAAGAAACCGAACCCCTTTAAATTACCACGATCAGGATGACTGAGAACCTTTGCCAGCATGTTAACATTTCCTGATTAGTTTGTTCAATGACTAGACTCGGCAAATAAACCCAGACTTGTAGAAGTTACATTTCGTGGACTCTAAACCACATAAAGGTAACAAAAGAAGAAAGCCAGTTGTTGACTTTGCATTTGCATATCCAAGAACTTGTAGGAATTTGTTAAAGTAAGCTTTCAAACTGACTTGAAACAATCATTGAGACGGTGCATCAAAGACATGACAGGAATCTTGTTACAGTTGTTAAAAGTGACAGTTAAGACATTTGGCATTCAAAGTCAAGAACAACCTTGCGTCCTTTACAGACTTGAGTTATTTTTCAGGCTGACATACTTTGTGTGTGTGTGTGTGTGTGTGTGTGTGTGTGTGTATTTCATTATTGTCTAAAACTATAATATGAGAAGTCTCTGAACATGAAGTATATGCCTCCATAAAAAAAAAACCTTCTAAGATGCTAATCTTTATTAAAGCACTTTGAATGCCATCGAGCAAATATGCATTTATGTCTGCTGCTTGAAGCCCAACAAAGACGTTACATTCATTACAGTGTTGACATTTGAAAAGCATTTGATCAAAGCTGAATTCACAGAGATCTGTCATTCGTGCAGAGCCATCTGGCAACTGCACTCAGTACTTCTCAATCTGGATTACACATACTACCTTTAGATGATGGTACTCACTGATAACGCTACATCAAAGCAGCATGCATGTATGGATTTAAGCAATTACAGGAAGATTCCCCTCTGACTGGAGCTGCAGTGTAGCTGTCACGATAAGCAGACTTTTCTTCAGATGACTGGAAGGCAGCGGTTGTGCAACTCTTAGAAAAAGATTGAGGTTTTGAAATCTGGAGCTTTGATCTTTGATATAATTCAGAAAATACACAATGGGATTCGCACAGCTTTTTAAAAATATAAACACACAGATCTTCTTTTGCTTGTCCCATAAACAGATTAGAGTGCCACTGTGCACCACCAAAATTTGTGTTCCTCTAGATTCTTGGTCCCCAGTGTTTTATTATTTTTTAAGTGTTTCTGGCCCCTAAGATTATCATTTACAAGTAGTAGAGATGAAACTGATGAGCTAACACAACGCATGAGAAAGGCTAAAGTGGATTAGCACTGTTTTGAAAAAACTTCAATGTCACAAATTAAAGTTTTCCAGCTTAATTACTTTTAAAACTATGCAGAAAGAGCTACAGCAAGCTGCTATCAACCAGACAAGCACATCATTTAAAATAGACGTTCATTGAAAAGCAAAACAAATGTTAACATGAACTGCTTTAAAAGTGTTTGTTTTTATCTATGTACGTCGTTGCCTCATTTTAGCTGTCGCCTTTTAATTCTAGCTAAGTCATCTTTGTTTATAAAGCCCTGAAAAACAGCCAAAGCTAACCTATGTACAGACGAGAGACGTTACTAGTTTAAGACCAAGATAAAAAGACAGGGCAAGCCGAACAGTAGGATAAATGAAATGTGCTAATCCATAAAATATTTTTATGGTACCAATCGTAAAGATAAAATGACGTAAAGACAAATAAAATGTACAAATCATAAAAGCTCCCACGATGAGTCAACTCCAAAGAAAAAATGTTGGTTTAAAAGTAACTATGTGTATTTAGCCTGGCAATAGGGGGCAGTAGATACCTAAATCATAGCAAGCAAGCAGTATTTTTGTGTTCGAGTAAGATGTTACCAATGGATGGCCATTAGGGTCAAAAATTCATTGAAGCGTAACCTCCAGCAAAATGACAAGCACATCGAACGAGTGAAGAGGTAAATGTTTAAAAGAACATTTATGAATGGCGAAAGTTTTGTACCTGCTTGTTACAAGTCAGTAAATATGTTTTGTCCTCGCGGGCTCCCGTAGCAGAAAACGTAGTGTCTAATATGGCGTCATCCAGAGACTTAGACCCACTTCCATGTAATATAGACCTGATTTTTATGCTCATTTGTTACAGAGCCAATATTTTTCAACAGCTGGACATCATTTAATTCATTTTCAGAAATATTTCGTTGGATGTTTCCAGAGATGAATGGAGAAAACTACACATTGTCTCTTTAAGAGATTTAACAATGAAAAAGCATGTCTAATTCTAGTCAGAACTTCTTTAAAACAATGCTCTTCACAGAGCTATCAACGATTAGATATTAAATCTTCATAACTATAGATGCATCAAAAATGTTGGTTCATGATCATGGTCAGCCAACGTCCAGCTTAAACGGCTGTGATTGGTAATTCTGAAACTCACCATTGTTAAGCAGTAATAAACAACAATGTTTCCATCACTATGAACTCACCCACACTAAGCACCAATTCATGCTAGTTTTAACAGTGTTATAGTAATTTTAGGTCTCTTCCATCAGAATCAGCCAAAATTCTAATGAGCTGGTCAGTGCAGTACAACAATCGTAAATAGGTGGTAGCCCTCAAAACGAGGATTGGTTGCACCTCTACTCATAATTTTGTCACAATAATCCACTTCAAATATTGCAAATAACTGTTTCATGCAGCTGATTTAATTGTTTTTAACCACACATATTAAAACGTTTACAATTTCTTAATGAAAAAAAAAAGCTAAAACTTTGAATGATTGACAAATACGAACATTTCACTGGTGATGGATGTTTCTGGATGGCAATTCAATACCTAAAATCTTACCCTGCTAAACGAATTTCAATAGTTGTGTCCACGATTAAAATGTTCACATTACTGGAATACTTAGCAAACATTTTTAAAAGGCATTTGAAACCAGGTAAGTTAAATGAAAAATGTGTTTAAACACTAAAGGGGGCAGGAGAAGCTTTTTAGTGATAAAGCACTAAAGATCTCTTGTCAGACAAGTCAAATCTCTACCGGCTGAAATCCGAGGGCCCACAGCATAGCATCAGCTAAGCTTGACAACTTGTCAGCTAGACGTCTGTCACAAACTTCCTAGTCAACCTAATGACTGCCTAGAAGGTTAAACTGACAGCAGCAGGCCTGGATAATGCTCAGACGTCTATTAGAGTCGTACAGCGGTGAAGCTACGGCTAATAGAGGCTCGCAGGTGGGACGCGTGACAAAACATTCGTGTTTAGATCAACAATAAAATGGGGGTGGGGTTGGGGCAGGAGTCTGATGAGTGACTAATGTCCTGTCGATCGCTTCAGAGGCATGTTTAGATTTATGAAAGGGCTCGGCCTGTGGTGCATGGCCATTAAAGCCACGCGCTCACTGATCAATTTGTTATCCAACACCCCCAACCCTCCCCATAAATGGATGGAGCACAGCTGTTGTGAGAGTCAATGAGGGCACTGCATGAAGACTCCTGATGCCTTCTGCTGTCTTTTCTACACATCACCGCAGAAAACAAACCATCAACTGAAACAACTGTACTCTGGTAAAATTTTGTTACCACTTTACAATAAGTGTACGATTTTTACTAACAACCCTTAATTTAGTAAACTCCCACGTAAGGGTGTGCTTTAATGGATGATACCGTGTCGTACTCAAGCTCGGATAACTGGTTACTGCTTTTATTCAATTCTGTTCACGCATGTGATACACACACTAAGCTAACTGTGCTAGTCAGACACAAAGAAACCAACCACACAACATTAGTAACATAAACCTATTAATAGCTGTACAGACTCATATTTATCAACTTAACACAGTTGTTAGCATAAGGAACACCAGTTCAGCCTCACCAGTCAAAATGGCAACCATAAAGAAGATCTGGTAGGTGGTGCATGTGAGCAAGGCCGTTTCCACATAACATCCCCATGGGGAATGCAGATTCACATATGTCACTCCACCTCAAAATAAGTGGCATTTTAAAGTAAATACTTGGGCTTGGTTGGTCAGAGAGAATATATATATATATATATATATATATATATATATATATATATATATATATATATATATATATATATATATATATATATGTATATATATATATATATATATGTGTGTGTGTGTGTGTGTGTGTGTGTGTGTAAGTAATATTTTTGTACTTTTTTAGTTAAAAAAGTACAAAATATTACTTTATATATATATATAAAGTATATATATATATAAATATATAAAGTATATATATATGTATATATACATATGTATAGAAAGTATATATAAAGTAATATTTTGTACTTTTTTAACTAAAAAAGTGCAGAAATATAACAAACTATATATATATGTGTGTAAGCAATATTTTTGTACTTTTTTAGTTAAAAAGTAAAAAGTATTACTTTATATATATATATATATATATATATATATATATATATATATATATATATATATATATATATATATATATATATATATATATATATATATATATATATATATAAAGTAATTTTTTTTACTTTTTTAACAAAAAAGTACAAAAATATTACATATATATATATATATATATATATATATATATATATATATATATATATATATATGTGTGTGTGTGTGTGTGTGTGTGTGTGTGTAAACTATCTCTCTCTCTCTCTCTTTCTCTCTCTCTCTCTCTATATATATATAGTTATATTTAAGTAGTATTTTTGTACTTTTTTACTAAAAGAGTAAGTAATGTTAATAAAAGGGCCCTTATTGTGAAGCGTTACCAAAATGTAGCAATTGCGTATCTTTGATATGTAAAATATTTTCCTCCCTAAAAGTGCAGATGACAAGAATCAAGCTCAAGTTTTAGTTGTGAAAAAAGAAAGAACATCCCTTTTTTCACCTTGAAAGATTGTTTCTAATACATTACCCATCCAGCTGTTTGAGCTGCCACTTGTTCGATAATTATCCCTGAGAGCGTGGTGCGGCACTGTGTGAGTGAAAGGTTAAGTATGGTGCGACAGAGACGACCGAGGGAGTCTAGAAGTAAAGAAAGGTGGTAAGAAGCAAAAAGGCTGTTAGATCAGCTGAGTGCTGGTGTCTGAGGTGCAAAGCAGGCTGCTGGCATGACACTTCCTGCTGCCACGTTGCCCGCAGGGAGGGAACATCTGCCAATGGAGGAAACATTAATCGTGCTGGTGATGAGACACACACTGCTACAGTGCACACAGCTTCTTCAACTGCAGCATGACGCAACTGTGTGCTGATCATAAAGGGTACAATACCTTTATCACCTTGTTTTATCACCCTTTTGTAATTTTTGAATTTGCCCAACTGCTGGTTAACATCTTGTCCTTCCTATTTACCTGCATGGGGAGTAAGAGGTGCAGGTAGAGGAGGAGAAAGTTTAGCAAAAAAAAAACTTCTCTTCCTCCTCACCATTTATTCATGCGTGGGTAAAGTTTCTGCTCCTGAAGTTAGCAGATGACTGCAGTGGACTGTGAACAAAATTAGGCCAGACCAGGAGGCCTAACGGCTATGTGGAAACAGAAATATACTGCATGTGGGCAGTTTAAATGTAGCAAAAAATGTATATATTCTACAGCTTTAAGGCATAAAATAAATTGGTGGACAAATGAAGTGCAAACATGGAGAAGGCTGTAAAGACGTGAAAGGTGAAAAATGAGTAAAAAGTTCCTCTTTCTAAAATCAAGGAAGGATCTGTTTGTGTTAAACTTCATTAACTCAGTTATGAGAATAAAATGTTTTTCTATAAAAAAAAAAAAGATGGATTTTTATACATTGACTATTCTCAGAAGAAAGAAATTAAAAGTCTAGTAGTATTTTGCTGTAGCAATCTATTGTGCAGAGATCGATTAGCTTGGTCCACTGAGATCTGTGTGTGTTTGGGCTGGACTTTCTCTTCAGGAGCACGTTGTGTAGAGAAGTGAAATAAATGTTACATGCATTGTGCTTTAAGTAAATCTCATCAAACTTTCTCTCATCTGGGTTTATGAAGTTTTACATTCTGCTGCTCCAGCAGGTGGCGCTGCTTCGTGAGCTCAAACAGAGCTGTTTATTTCCCTACTTTTTCAGAACCTGCGCTGAACATTTTAGAGGCTCGGCTATGAGCTGCTAGCTTCCAGATCGTAGCTGCTACTAGCCAAACAGTTCAGCCCCTTATTTTCAACCATGTCACTCCCTGCATCCTCAGTCTCTTTTTGCCGTTTGCAACACTTACTCCTCTGTTTTATTAGCTATGTAACCAGAAACTTGCAGGGGGCTAACGCTAGGCAAACATTAGCTGTTAGTAGCACATCTGGCTGTGAACTGCGTGGCTCTATTGGGACTGGCTATTCATCAGTTCTTTACATAGAGGTGGTTCTAGAATAGAATCGACTTTATTAATCCCACAGTGGGGAAATTCACTTGTTACAGCAGCACACACGTGATTGCTGCCATTTCTGTAGAATTATAATTTAATAGAACCTGTCTGATAACATGAATAGGCTAACTGGTCTCAAAAAGCAGCACATGCCTTGTGCTAAAGAAAAGTAAGGGTGAACGAACCCAGAACAACAGCTAAGCAACCAAGAGATTAATAAACTTGGTGAACGTTATGGCCAGAGTTCAGGATTCAACAATAAGAAAAAAACAAAACTTCTGCCGACCAAAAAGAACGCGAAGACCAACTCTAAATTTGCCAAAATCCTTTTGATGTGAAAAGACTGTACGGGTAGATGAGATGAAAATGGACTTTTTTGGAAGTAGTGTATTGGTGTTGCTTCCAGAGGTGCTGCATGCTTGGCAGGATATGGAATTGCGTTTTGCCCCCAAGCCACTAGGGACCCCCAGAGGGCTGACCATCTTTAAACTGCAACAGTAGTTGGACAGTAAGAAGCTGTCATTTCACAGCATGATTGGCCATCTCCCACCCCCTGGTGTGACCACCGTAACAGTACTACAACCAATGCAGACAACATATAAATTGAGAAATCGAAGAAAAACAGGAATAAATAAAAGCCATGCAAAGAACTTGGGAGCACAATCCTATGCCGTAAACACACCTATACCTAGTTGTTTAAGATGGTTTTCTAGTTTCAGAGGTGTCTGAAAACTCAAAATCGGGGACATAATTTTGTACCAAGACAGGGTTACCTTAGTGAGGTCATAGGTCCTTAGCAGGTCATTTTGAGCTCCGCCTTCATACACTCGCCTACGTTCCCGGGCAACATCAACATCCTCTTCCTCTGCAGACGGTGGCGTTACTGAAATAAGTCTAGCAGAGAAAGTGTCACACTCGGTTATAAATAACCCCTCATTAAAATTAACGTTAACCAACATGACTAATTATCTCAGTCAAAGTTGAAGCTCACTAAACCTCTGTAATTTTCATAAGCTGCAGAAGCCACAAACATCCGTTTCTATGGCGACTTTCATTTGAGAGGAAACCACACTCATGCAAATACAAGTTTTGTGGTTTTTGGCAAACCCAAACACAGTAGAACAGCTGTTTAACTAAAATGAATAAACATTAGTTGCTATTTAAAATGCAGAGCAAAGAAAGACTTATCAGATATCAGAACATAATGTCAAATCAGAGGAAATAAACAAAACTGAAAGAAGCATGAAAAACAAAGTTATGTTTTCTTTGGATGAACACAAAATGTTCTTAAGAGCTTGTGCAATGCTTATGCAAAATAAATTCTCTTTTTTTAAATCTCTTTTGAAGGATGAAGGGGTGTCTAAGTTTTAGTTCTTATAATAATAAATACAAATACTGATAAGTCACTTTAGAAATGGCTCAATTTTAGCTGCTGTCTCATTGGCTTAAGGATTTTCATAGTTTTCCATCATGTGACCAATTCACTGCCCTGGTTGGAAAACATGACTCCATCAGGGCAGCAAAAAGTAGACATTAATTCTGCAGGACAGATTTGTTGCATTTCCACCTGTCCTGAGATAAAGTAACTGCAGGTGTATGGGCAGTCCAGTGAGCTAATCAAATCACGATGTTTGAGCTGTTGTGTTGAGGCCTATTTTGTTGCATAGTGGCTTCTTAATGTAATTAAACCACCTGGGCCACTACGACTGGGCGATATGGCCTAAAATCAATATCACAATATATTGAGGATTTCACCTCGATAACGATAATGGACGATAACTACATGTATGCACAGTGACAAAGGTTGTCCACTAGATGGGGCTGTCACATGTATTACGTTGAGTCAGGCATGTGCGGGGGTGGGGGTGGGGAGGCTTGAGTACCTGCCCCTTTGGTCTGAAGTGCCCAAAGTGCCCTTTCTCCGGTCTTCCGTCAAATTTTAACGTTCAAAATTGTCCAGTATGTCATTGATAGAAGGGTTTTCACTGGTTTTTGTTCTCGTTTTTCTGGCTTTCTGGCGAATCTGTTTAAAATGTTTGCTCTATATTGCCCCCTTTTTAACTTTGAGCACCCACTCCTTGAAAGGTCTCTGCACGGCCCTGCGTTGAGTCACATTTTTCCATCACTCAAGGTGGTGCAGCTTCTTAATGGGACATGAACATTACCAACCTACACACATCTTTGAATTTTTTATTACTGACATGGGAAAGTTTATCTCGATAAGAGTCACAAATTTCGATAACGATAAATTTTCGATTTATCGCCCAGCCCTAATGTATGATTAAAAAAAAAATCTTGACAAAAAAAAAGAAAGATTATGCTTTTTACTTAACTCTAATCCAATAGAGAAAAAAGGAAATACGAGAAATGACCTAAAATGGTAGGTAAAAAGCAGCGTTACCTTGGTTTGCAGAAGAACTTGTACTGGATGAGGATTGTGAGGGTGAACATCACAATTCCCTGGATGGACATAGCACACAGATTTTTTCCTACCATTCCCCAGCTTAGTGGATTCTTAAAACGATCTTCCCCTGATACAGAAGAACAGAAGCAACACGGGGTAGAAAGAGAGAAAATGAAGTCACTTTGATTAAACGCATTACTGCTTTGGGTAATTTCATGTCAGACTCCAGCTCTTATCAACACTGTCTGGGGAAAGTTTTCGACATAACATGCCAAAACATAAACACCACAGATTTTTTTTCTGTTCACGGACAGCTAAATTATAGTATGTGCCTTCGCTTATTTACGTGTCTCGGAAAAAAATGAAAGGCGGCAGTTTAAAAAAGCCACTTAGCCTTAAAGTAAAATAATATAAAGTAAAAAATGTCTGCCATCTGCGTCATGTGAAGAAATTGTTGACATTGTGTTCTTTTAGGTAGAAGCCTATTTGGCTGAGAAGCAAAGCAGTGACAGCCCTCTACGCTAACTTTCGTCCTCCTCTCAGCCTTTTCAACCAAGTACGATATGGGTCCATGGGTGTGTGTGTGTGTGTGTGTGTGTGTGTGTGTGTGTGTGTGTGTGTGTGTGTGTGTGTGTGTGTGTGTGTGTTGGGAGGGGAGACAAGAAAAACGAAGGTGCTGTCCGTCTCATTCTTTGGTAAATAGCCCCTCTCCACACAAGCCCTTTTAAGTCGTGATTGCTTTTCTCTCTGCTCTCCACTGCCGCCACAAATTATTCCTCAAACCGCTATTTCCTGCCCCATCTCTCGACAGATAAGACTCCTCTTCCTCTTTCATGTGCCTCTTTGGCTCTTGATGGCCCTCCTCAACCACCCGGCTCCACCTCCACAAACACCTTGCCATCCCCCCTCCGGTCTAAATTTCACTTGTGTGGACAGAAGGGCTTGAGTGGAGGTTTAGAGCAGTGATACTGGTCCAACATTTTCCCCTGGGGAACCAGCATTTTGACAGAAACGGTACAGAGCCACTTAAAAAATGGACCAAATTTATTTGTCGGTATGTCTATTCTTCAGACCACCAAAAGACTACTGCTCATGTTAGGCTCATGTTATTTGCTACTGAGAACCGATTCACGCGATATGAAATGGTGCATTGTTTTGGTACCATAGAGTTCTGTACCCGTCCTTCATTAACAAGAACTTGTGAGACAGCGATTTGCCAAGATAGACAGCAGCACATGCACATGTTGATGACCGCGTAATGTCGTCAGTCGCTGCGGGTGAGCTATAAACAGAGCAAGCAGCATGGTAGAGAGAAGGCCTCTAAAGTTTGGGTTCAATTCACCAAATGCCATGGGTGACTGGGTGATGATGACAACATGGACAACAACCTAAGTGAGGCATCATCATCTTAATCTGCTTCAGCGGGTCATTTAAATGTTTAAGATAATGTTAGCTTGCTATTTCATCTTCCATTGCTATCAGCTAACGGTGCAATCGCTTTCTCCACGGAACTTAGAAATTCCACCTTCCAAGTAGTAAAAACCAACAGTTTGAAAAAGAACAGCAAAGGGAATGAAGATACACAGTAAATTTAGCTCAAAGCAAAGATGTTTGCTTCAGTTTAATTTGCAGCTATTACAACTACAAGGACCCACCCATCATACCATTTGTCCAGAGGAGAAAGAAGAGGAAAATGAGTCCATAGAGCTGGGTTTAAGTTTTTGCATAATTTAGAAACTGTTGTGGTTAGAGGTTTTCATTTGGAAGAATTTTGAATAACACTATGATATATTGCATCTATGTATATCTATATATCTATATAGATATATAGATATGTGCTATGGGAGTGGTTTGAGTACATTTGACCCACGGTGCTGCTTCAACAGCGCAATAGCCTCACGAGGGTCGAGGAGAGTTTCAAACGTAATGATTTTTGTGCAGCTGCACGACTACCAATCGGGAGCTAGTTGTGAGATGTTAATGGCCATGTACATTATACTACACACGACACAAAACTCAACCCAACTACAAAGATTGTTAAACAAGTGGAAAATCTTTTGAAAACTGGCTGCCAATCACACTGCGTATGCCCAGCTTAAAACAGTAATAATGATTTAGGTAAAAATAAATATTAGTTTTGAAACAGATTCTATTTTTGTCCATTTTCCCCTATTATTCTTTATAAAAACTGTGATGTTTCTTACCAAAGCTGATGAAGAGCGTTGCCATGGCCTGGTTCTTTGCCATGTCAATCAGTCCTCTGCCCAGACAGAAATGTGGGAATATCAGCAGCACCTGCTTCACTATGTCGTTGATGTGCTTAACATTCTGTTGAAGAAAAATGACACAAACACCTCAGAAACATATTTACCCTCTCCCTGATTGTGGAATTCTACAATCCAAGCAATTTTGTGGAGTATCCATCTCAAATCAGCAGGACTACGAGCTAAAAGTGTTGAAGACAGAGCTGATAATTAACAAACACCCGACACTTTCAATTGCATGCTGAGAACAGTTGTGCTGCTCCAAATGTTGAGCTGGAGAAGAAATATGAATCAAGTTTTTATCTGACGCTGGAATTCAACAAACATTGGGGACTGTACTGTGTGATCGGTGAGAAACTAAGTGCGTACGAGCACAAACGAATGAGATGCAGCTCAGGCAAACAGATGTTCATCTTTAAAAATCATAACCGAGGTTAGTGGAAGCATCCAGACATGCACTGAGAGAAGCTCAGTGTATTTTTTCTATAGACAATGTTACACAATGACCTGGAAAAAAACAAAAGCAAATAACAAATTATATAATTGTTTAAAGATAAATATAGAAACCATATTTAAATAGTTTAGGACGGGGTTTGGCAACCCGCGGCTCTGGAACCGCATGCGGCTCTTCCATCCATCTGATGCGGCCCTCTGTGCTTGTAAAATAATGAATGGATATTTAAATAAAATGCTTTATATTTTACTGCATTAATTTTACACCTGTATGCTAATTCTAAATGTAAAGATTGTCCTGAACCTGAACAGTTCCAACCCGGTCTTACTGTGAGACCAGGTTGACGGGTCACGCTTGTGCGTAATCATGTAGGCGCATTCTGAGCTGAAGAGGATGTGAGATTCTGGGATTCTCCTCAGACGGCTCCTGGATGTGTCGCCACATTGGAGACAGGAACAAGCACTATTCAGCCAAAGTTTCATAATCAGGGAACATTTTCTAAGTGACAAGTCTCGCTTCAGTCGGAGGAATCTTCCTGCATGCGCTCTGGTTCTGCGACGCGCTCCAAGCCCCTCTCCACATCTTCAGCTCGCTGTGCACCATAAGTACACGCTGACAGTGAGCTGCGCTGAGCAGTGTCCAGTTCAGATGTTCAGATGGGAATCTTTTCTTGAGTGATTTAGCTACATCTGCAATGTGCGAAACAAATAAAATGTCAGTTCGTCTGCATGCGTCGGGGTAATTCTTTCTATTCTTTCTCCGTCAAAATAAACAGTCAAATACGGGAACTATCCGGTCAACACAAGCCCTGCTTTTAACTGTTCTGTTTTCTTGTGAAAATTATTGCAAAGAGATATAATTTAACTTGATTACCACCAGAGCCAGGCGCGCCGCGCCATTATCTCGTCACTGTAAATGAGGGAAAAACAAAATGATTGGATCCTTTTCTGACCTTCCCCACCTACAAAGTTTAATTACAATGATCAAACGTGACAGAGCCTGGATTTGTATTCTGAACAGTCTAAACATGTTTTAAAAAGAAACGTATGACAAAAGTGGCACCTGCTCAGTAAAACCACCAACAGGGTGAAAAATATCAAAATATTGTAGGCAGAGACGGGCTACAACTTCTGGATCCATTTTATATAAATCATTTTATTGATTATCGTCTTATGAAAGATAACTTTGACGTACACGAGCGACTGGTACTGGCTGCTGTCACCTGTTGTGAGCAGCGCTCTGCTGTCTGAGGGCAGGCCCCGCCCACAACCCCACGGCTGCTGTGGCTCCCAGTGTTTTCTTTACTGTGGGAAACGGGTAATAATGGCTCTTTGATGGGAACAGGTTGCCGACCCCTGGTTTAGGACTATTAATATGATACCAAGAAATTAACTCAATACAGTTTTCAAAACTTCAGAGAAATAAATACATTTTCAACCCTAAAATTCCAATTGTATGTGGTACACCGGATTGGTGCATTCCTGAAAAGCATGCAATCCTCTGCTTGTTTTAAGTACTACATATGGTGAGTTCCAATTTTATTACTGCCCACTACCCAAAAAAGGAAAAGCCAAAAGAAGCATTAGAGGACTTAAGTGCCAAGCCCCAACCTCGTAATTGGAGGGTTGCAGGTTTGCGCCCCGCTCAGTCTGCCATTCGTTAAGACACTTAACCTGATCTGCCTGCTGGTGATGCTCAAAGGGACTGGTGGCACCAATGCTTGACAGCCTAGCTTTCTTTAGTGCACCCCAGGGCTGTTGTGGCTACATTGTAGTTATTCCCCACCAGTATGTGAATGTCTGTGTGGATGGGTGAATGTGATGTAAAGTGCCTTCGGGGGTTGTAGAACCCCAGAATGTGCTATTAATTACTGGCCATTTACCATTTAATTAAACTTGTGTGTGTGTGTGTGTGTGTGTGTGTGTGTGTGTGTGTGTGTTCTCTTGAAAAACTTGAGATTTTTCAGTAAATGTTAGTAGAAAACAATCATTGAATGCACATTTAGTAGTTATTAATATGAATTAATACATTTTGAGACAACCCATTTCAAGATGGCTGCCTGCCACAGCCAACTACTACTAGCAAACAGAAATGGCTATAACTAAACCAATTTTCCACATTTGTACTTGTTAATTTCACCATCCCCAAGTAACCCTAACCCTAAAAATGGACATTCGATAAATAACTAGCTTTGTATGTCAGACATGTTCAAGATGGCTACCACAGCCAACTAACCTAAAGAAACAAAAATAGCTGGGATTCTATTGAAGTTACAGATATTGAGCAAAGACTTTGTGTGGCAATATGAAGAATCCTCCACAGCACATATGGTAATAAATTAGGGACAGCAGTAGCTCAGGAGGTAGAGCAGGTTGTCCAGTAATCGGAAGGTTTGATCCCGGCTCTGCCCAAAGAACTTTCTCTACCGACATGTGACAAAATAATCCACTGCTTTTCATTCAGATTTAGGCGCATCTGCTTGAATTTGTGAGTGAACTGGCACGGATGAAGATGGCTCTGATGGTTTTGTCATAAATTAACTAAAATTGGTGATATGTGTAACCAGGTGGGTATCTAAAAACGAGAAATATACAGTGTAAATCCAGGCTTCTTTTACACCACCTTTCTGGTTACAACACCTGTTTGGGTCAGAAAATGGTGCTTGTCCCACATTTAGAGGTAGAAAGTTCCAGAAGAAGAAGAAAAAGCCTTATTCCTGTCCTGTTGCAGTTTGGATTTTGGAAAAGGTGATAAAGGAGGACATTTTGAGCTGAAATTTGTTGGAAAAGCAAATGAATAAATATTCAAGATTCTCGTTTAGTGTTCTTGTTTGTGGATTGTTTTCCATGCATGTTGATGTAATGTTAACCCTTTGATGCATGAATTATGAAATCTTTCACCATGATTTTTGTAACTTTTTTTTCCATTCATCTTTAGGTGTGAATGAAACAAATTTCAACAAATATTTGTAGTAAATTTTTATAATTTACAAATAATTTATTACATGACCACCTCAGTGGACAGCGTGCATTCTGAACATGAAATGTGTTGGCTTGACTTACTGAAGTCCAAATGGAGGGGCTCAAATGCAACAAAGACTTCAACAGCTGTGCTTAATAGCAAAAATAAATAAATACTCATTTTGAACACCTGTCCACTGTAGTGACCATTATGCATCAAAGGGTTTATGTTTCATTTGTCTGTGTGTGTGGGGCCTTCTTTAAAAGTGCTACTGATGTTTGGTGTACTGTTTTTGCACCATTTCGTGTCGTTCTATGAACTGTTTTTTGAGAATAAAATCCCATTTGACTTTGAAGATTTTTTGTGGTCCATAAAGCTGGCTTCATACATTTCCCATCTTTGCATTTTCCCTTGAATGTAAATTTTCTTTTAAACTCCATCCGCCATAGAAACAGTAAAAGTCTACAAAACGACAGGCAGTTATAATCAAAGACAGGATAGATTTGCTTGCATAAGTCTCATGCAAAGAGGCAAAGAAACAGAACGTACGAGATCTCAGAAAGGACAGCGAGGGTGAGACAGGAAACAAAGACAAACGGCGGCAATTTAGAACATGTGGCACTGCTCAGAGTGCCAAAGCAAATTCATACAATATGCATAACGCTTCAATGCAGCAAAATCCTCAGAGCTCTTGCATCCATTAAGTCTATAGATTCATCATTCCATGTTTTGGGAGAGCCTGAATAAAGATTAGTTCACTCTGCAGTCAAGGTGCAGCTTCATCCAACTATGCAGAGATTTCCTGACAATGGTCATTATTGTCCCAGAATTCATCGATGTATGTGTGTTACTGTGCAGTGAAGTCGGTCTGCACGACTGAACATTCAATATGCAGTTACAATGAATGATGGCATGAAGTTGTATAGGACTGTCAACCTTAAAAGCACAGATGATACAAATCCTAGATTCAGAGGTTTTCATCAGATTCCCTTGATGTTAAAAAACACTACTGAAAGTGATCTATGTTGATTAGCTTATTGCCAAGGTAGCCAAGGTAACCTTTATTAGCGATGTGCAAAGCTTTACCATCCCACCTGCAAATGTGTTAAAATGAGCTCATTTATGAATGGTGCGGTGGGAACTTTGAACAATGCTGTAATTGATAAATGTGAATTGAGTACAGCTAAAAATGGAAAAATTAGGCAGCAGTTTATACTTCATCACTACACTCAGATCTTGTTTTTAACTTTTAGTTTAAATTTGTGTAAAACATCCCTGGATATACGTATGAAATGTGCAAATTTATTATTATGTTATTATATATTGTTTTTCTTGAAATGTGAATAAATATTATATATATATATATATATATATATATATATATATATATATATATATATATATATATATATATATATATATATATATATAATTTATTTATTTATTTATTTTGCCTGTTGGTGTCAAAATTACAAATGCCAGTGCTGCTACGTCAGCTCAATTCAGATTCAGCAACATCAAAAACTCAAGTGTAAACAGTAACCAAATCCCACTTTGTTTATTTATTTATTTATTTTTGGAAAGGAGAAAATGTAACTGATCTTTGTAGGTCCTTTTAAAAGCCTACTCTAAACCTCTTATTTGCTCTC